AGCATAAAATACACGTATACACATGCAGCACAAGTATATAGACGAAGTATAATCCCGTACACGCGGCGGCGTTAACTCGTTGTATTGCGCCGCGTCGAGCCGGTACATAACTTGTGTCTGTGTGTACTCGCACACGGATACATTGTGGACTGTGTGTGGTACCTTATATAGAGTTGCCTTATATTGATTTCGATGTGGCTAGTTTTCAACTATGTGTACTATATACACGCCGGATTTTCCTCCGTTTGATCGATGAGTCCCCACATGCAGCCAGCAGAGAACGAATGGATGCGTATACCGACCGCAGCCGGCCGCTATCAGAGCTATCTTCCTGTATATTTACGTGTAAAATAACGCGCACCCGGGGAAAATAATGCGACCCGCGCGTACATTTATATGCATTCGGCTCTCCTCGACTGCACTTACACACTTATACAGACAGAGCGAGCAGTTCATAAATTTCGCGCGATTCGTTCGTAAAAAGTGAATGTGTGGGTGTGTATGTAGTACTTACACCTATATGCGCGTGCGACGAGATAAAAAAGAAGAGGAAGCAAAAAATAGTCATTGCCAAGATTGGTGCACTTGAAACGAACGTAAGGAGTTCTGTACATACGTGTGCGCGGGTAGACGCGCGCGCGAACGCCAAGTAAAGCTATGACACATACAACAACACGTGTGCGCGACGGATAAAAACACGGCGGAGCGAGTCGCGATGTAGACGACGACGATGAATGTGACTCATTTTTTAGTAGTCTGCATCTCTTCTTTTTTCTTCTCGCAGCCAGCCAGAATTTTTAATCTTCACAATAGTAATAGCGGGTTGATGTTTTTTTTTTGCTTCTCAGTTGTAGGATACATTACGCGAACTTTTACACGAGAGCGATACTTGGCTGCAGACGGTGTTTTTTTCGTAATACACGTGGGGATGATCACCGTTATTATTATCGTAATGTTTTTTCGTATCGTATATGTACGTGTAATCATCATCGTCGTCGTTGCACCATTGAAGAGAAGCTCGGAAAGAACAATATCGGTTATCGGGGAACGAAAACGTATATACGCGAATCGAGATAATGAAAAAAAAGAGAGACAGAGAGGATTTTTTTTTCGACTCGTATGTTTACACGTTACATACACACACACGCCTACACATCGTTACAAATCGTCGAACGAAATTAACTCTTCAACTGATCATAGCAGGCACTCGCGGGGCGGGGGGCGAAAAGCAAACACGACTACTCGCGCTCCGCACACGTGTGCGTACCATCACCTGCGAATCAATGAAAGCGGCGAACTCGTTGAAAAAACTTGCTTTTTTTTTCTTCTCGAAAAAAGAGAAAGACGACGAATTTTTTATTGTGCGCGCGAGCTTGGGGGGGAAAGGTTGGTGACATAAATATGGAGCTGCCTCGTGGAGTTTCACTCCCCAGCGAGCAGCAAGTATAGCATGCACAAGTGTCGTCGTCGTCGTCGTGTGAGCTACATGTGCTGCTGCACATACTGCAATAGGTGCATACACATGACGCTCGACGCAAGTGCGAATGACAAAAGAGCGATATATATGGCGGAGTCGCGGGTGCGATGTGTGTGCGGGTGTGTTTTCATTCAAAAGCGAGCCGGTACGGAGGAGGAGGATTCAATCGCTATGTATCGTCGCTGCTAATTTTTTCTTTTCTATGCGTGTTAAAGGTACGCAGGAACTAGGCGCGGGCGTCGATTCAAGTATTAATGAAAGGCAAACATCAGCTGGTTATAGAGACGACGACGACGACGACGTTTTTACAGTCTAGCAAACGTCGCTTAAAGTATTATTTACGTGTATATATAGCGAATAGCCTACTTGCATTTACCGCCCCCCAAAGAGCAGCTCCCAAAGAGTGAGAGTAAAAGAGAGAGAAACTCGCAGATTTCGAGGATCTCGGCGTATATACACGCGTTTCTTTGCTCCGAGCGTCTGATATTTTACCCGAGCGAAATATGCCTGCTGTATGAAAGACCTTATATAGACGAGTTTCTCGCCGAGCTTGCATCAAGGTTGAAGCTAAAGAGAGAGAGAGAGAAAGAGAGAAAAGAGAGCGACGAGGGAGAGAGATCTCGAGCTCAAAGCTTTGATGGAAAGTCGAATGCGCGTCTCGACGGTGCACAGAGAACATGCCACCGACGCCGGTACTTGATACTTATATACACACACATGTACAGAGTCGAGGAATCTAAGCCCCACACTTGTATATACAGCGAAAAAAATGTGGGTCAGTATTTACGTTAAACGAGCGAAATAGGCAGACGTAGTCGCGAAAAAGAGCAGAGCTTACCCCCCGGGAGTATTTGGTAGTCGGATAATCGTTATACAGTCGTTTAAAACGTATGATTCGCTCGCCGCGCGCAGTAATAATCTCAATGACCGAAATAGTCTCTTTTTCGCTCGTGCTTTGCAAGCTCACCACGCGATATATCGATGCAAAAAAAAGGGTCAAAGACCCGATACACACATAAACGCGCGGAGTGTTTATAATCTGCAGCTTGCAGCTTGCAGCCACGCGCGATCAGTTTAGCCGGGCACGCGGAGATCGGATTGAATAAAGAGAGACCGAGAAATTCAATGAAAATGGATAATAATAGTCGTGCGCGAGCTTTTTGTGTAACGTATACATATAGACGGAGGGAACGGCGGAGCTCGATTAGCAGTCGACGACGATATCCTGAAATAATGGCAGCTTATGTCCTTTTCCGTGCACGATCGTATAATGGCTTAATCTTACTCGACGACGACGACGACAACGACTTTTTCTCGCGTAATTCGATTTCACAGCGAGCTTTACATTAGTATATCTGTACATAGTACAAAAACGACGACTCGTCAAACGAGCCTTCATTTCATTTTACTCATTTCTGAAATAAACGTCTCTCTCCGTATAATACACAATGGGCTAATAGAAACGCGAAAATATTCGGAAAAAAAAGAGAGGAAGAAAATTGCGCGCGCACAGGAGGAAAAATATTATAATATTACGCTTCGAGAGGCGCCTGATTTTTTTTTATCATGCAAATACACACGCAATTTCGTAGATAGATATATATAGACACGAAAACGGCGTGTACCCCCCTGCGCTAAATCGAATTTTCCCGTAAACTGCTGACTTTCTGTGCGTCTACATAGTTATATAGTGGCTTGATGCGGAGCAGCAGTAGCAGCAGCAGCAGCCGTCCCTTTAATTCTCTCCTTATCTAGCTCTGCCAAGTTCGCTGCTCTCTCTCTCTCTCTCCCCCTCTATGGTCGTAAATTCACTCTCTCTTCTCGCTGTATACCACCCACCCTGGTGTGCCGCTGGAATTACACGTGCTGCAAGGTATACGCGTACGCTATGTGCGTAGGCTAAAAACGTTTTGCGCATAAAAAAAAAGAAGAAGAAGAAGAAGAAGAAGGGAGCGTAGCATACAGCAAGGGGAAAAGTCAATGTATAAATGTATGTATACGCACACAAACGTTCGACTTTTTTTCTTTCTTTCTTTTTTCTTCCTTTTTTTTTTTTATACACACGCGGTTTATATCGACCGGAAAGCGAGTATCACGCTTCGCGGCGTCATTTTATTGCACATATATATATATTATATTATATTGTTTATACGTCGAGTGCGGCACAAACACACGCGCACGTATATCCCATATAGCAGCATATATTACAATAATAATAATTCCTCGTTGTTTGTCGATGCCGTATAGCGGGCAAACGAAAATATTGCTCGCTTCCTTTTTCTTTGCTCCTTTTTTCTTTCTCTTCTTCTTCTTCTGTCTTGGCGGATTGGGAATCGCATAAGCCCGCGCGTAAGACAGCAGCAGCCACCGACGACAGAGAGACTTTTCTTCGAGAGTTGGGAAAACTGTATATAAGACACGAGGAGCGAATCGAGCCGAGTTTTCCTCCGGACTCGAATATACAGAAATGCGCGCGAGGCAACTTTGTTTCGCCAACTACTTACTCGATGATTTATATTACCAAGTTTTCGAGCGTCTGTGCAGCGTCTCGACGACGACGTCTCGGGCCATTAACGTTATTATATCGTTGTGCGTGCTCGGCGTCTTTTATTTAAACGTATCTAACGAAAAAACAATATAATCGAGCTTGATACGCGCGGAGTACTCGTGCACCTGTTCACGTTTTTTTATTTCACGCTTGATTGAACCGAGTTCGACTCGATGGAGCGCGAGCGACTTTTTACCATCTAAATACCTCTCCGTCTTCTTCTTGTTTTTGCGCATCGATCGTCGACGATGATGATTTTTTTCTCGATCCCGCGAATCTTATCGAGCGAAACGAGCTACGCACTATATAGCTCATAGTTGGTTCATTGCTCCAGGAAACGAAACGCGAGCGAGAATGGCATTTAAATACGAACGAATGGGAGGGGGCAAAAAATATACCTCGAGGTATAACGAGAAGTACACGAATACATAAATTTTATACCTTTGCCGCGAAAAACTGGCGCTTTAACGCGCGACTTTAACACATAAATTTTGCGCACTTGATTCCGAGAGCTTGTCGGAATATAAAGTATACATACGTTATTTAATACACGCGTTCAATTATATTTTGTTCCGCGATTTGCGCGCAGAGTACCGCACCACCACCGCAGCGGTACTCGAATTTTCGACAAGACGTTAATTGCATTTATATGCGAAGAAACACGTACTCGTTATGTTTTACACTGTCGAGCTTACTATATATACGTAAGTACGAATTTGCATTCACCGCACGGTGTGCGCGTAGTACAAATTCATTCGTGTTCGGAGAGAGAGAGAGAGAGAGATAGCATCGCACCAATTTCGTTTTTGCATGCGGCGGTGCTTCCCGTTCTCTCTATATATCGGCGTCGCTTTGTTCGAGCGAGCCCCGCGTGTGAAATGCAAACAGTAGCGACGCGATATCTCGTATTTAAGGTATCAGCCGATTAGCGATGAAAAAAAAAAAACCCCCACGAAGATCACAAAATAAGCTTACCTTGCGCTCGTAATCGTCGCAGGCGACGGCCAGCCAGGGCAGATCGGACACGTGCTCGCGAAAGCTGGCCTCGACGTCGAGCACCTCCTGGGCCGCGGCGCCGCTCCACAGCAGCACGTGCACCACCTCCAGCTTCTTCTTGACATTATTACCACTACCACTGTTGTTGAGAGCCTCGTAGAGCTGAGCGAGATGCCGGGTGAAGTCGTCGCAGCTCGCCGCCGGATCGACGAAGCTGAAGTACAGGCCCAGCACCTCGCACTGGTTGACCAAGAGCTCGAGGGTGGACGATTTGAGGCCGGGCTTGGCGCAGCGGCATAGCTGCTTGCCCAGCAGACGCTGCTGCCAGGCTACCTTGTTCTGGCTCAGTGAAGGTGCACCACCACCGTTGTTGCTCTTGCCGTTGAGATCCATCAGTTGCTGTTGTTGCTGTTTGTTATTTCGACTCGCGCAATCGTTGACGTTGTTGGCGACGTTGGGTACCGCCGAGCAGGCGGCCATGGCGACGCTCCGCGTGCGACTGACTGACGACGACGCCGAAGTTTGTACATTATACCCATGGTGGAAGGGCAATGCCGGCAACCCCCTTTTCAAGCCGCCGCCGCCGCCGCCGCCGCTATTGCCACTGCGCTTCTGTACATTGTTATTATTATACGTGTACAGCTACAGCTTCTGTCTATACTGTACAGTGTTGCATGTGCGGTGCGAGGCACTTGCGCCGATACGTCTGCGCCGCGTGTATTATACATATATATGCAGTTACATGCATATGCGGGTGGAAGTCACGGACACATGTTACGCAGTGCAGTTTCTTCTCTCTCTCTTGCAGCGGCTATGCGTGCAGTGCACATACTCCACATGACGCGGGCACCCGAGACTCGATGAGCGAGAATGTCTCCGCTGCGTTGTATATATGCACGCCATGAATTCTATTTGAAATTCGCCGCTTATAAAATATATAAATGTTGCATGTAGCAAAAGCCGATAGATATAGCGAGGAATGCGGCAGTGTGCGATCATTAGCTCGATCGTTCGAGCGCGTTTATGTGTATTTTTAAGAGCTTATAGAGCCTGTATGGAACGCGCGAATGTATGTTATTTGTATATTATTATAACGCGTTTACTCTGCCGGATAACTCGTGCTCGGTGGATCGGATGATTGGCCCCCCTCCCCCCCCCCCCCCCCCCNCCCCCCCCCCCCCGACCGACGTGCATCCGAAACGTTAAAAGTTACGGGGCTGTGTATCTACAGATTTTTTCTTTTGTTATGAAGTTGTACTCGACGTAAGAATAATCGACAGTTAGAAAAGCCAATCGCGAGCAATTACTGTAAAAACGGAAAAAATTAAAGGAGTCATTGAGTCTCTCGAACTGCGAGATCTTTTGTTACGGCCCATTGTGCTACACGCAGGCCCTGAAAAACATCGTAATTTTTTAATGAATATGCATAACGAAATAATATGCAGAATAGATCCCTTTTCATTTGAAGATTCTCACGCGGCGTATATAGTGTGTACCGAGAGCCTCGTGCCCGTGATCATGCCCCTGCGTCGTCGTGTACCGCGCGCGGGGCAGGCGCAGACAAAGGGAAGTGCTATTAGCGCATCTTTTGGGAAACAAAGAACAGCTCCGCGCGCGCGCATGTGCTTATGCACTTCAAAGGTGTCTGCTGCTGCGAGCTAGCTATAGCTACTATACCTAGAGAAAACGGAGAAACGAGAATGTGTCTCAGTAACCCTTTCCACGACGTAGCCTAGCTCTCTTACTTATAGTAGTAGTAGTATAGCTGTAGTGGAGCTTCGAGAGATGAAAAAGAAAAACAGCGACGTGCGCCGTGTTTCTCGTATAATTGAGTCGTATGAATCGCAGCTTGAATGTGCAGGTGGGCAATTGTCAAAGACAAAATTACATTGTCTTTTTTGCCTCTCTCTGTCTCGGGACATTGAGAAGAGCTCTAGTGTGCATATGGAGTGATTGTGTATCGCAGTTGGCTGTTTCGATCGTTTTATTTACTAAAAAATAGTAGGAGTTTTCATCGTATTTTTCTTTATTCGTAATGAACCTTATTTTACACTGAGAAATTTTTTACAGCTATGGATAAGGATCGATGTCACTTTAAAAATAAAATTAAATATTTTTTGCCTTTGTCAATTAGTCCTTAGCGTTTACTGTAAGGACCTGAAAGCGAGGATCCTTGAAAAACTTCTATCATGTTGATGAAAGTATAGGCGCGATTTATTTTTAGGAAAATCAGCACAAAAGTATTCAGTCTTTCAGGAGTTCAGTATTCAGGCTGCAGGAAAACGTCTTGAGTCCTTTCATGACTCTAAGTCGACATACGTTTCATTTCACTACATTTAAGAATGGAATAAAGTTGAGCGAATTATGTTTAAAGACTAAAAAGATATTGTCGTAGACCAATTCAGTCGAAGTAAGAGCTATTACAGATAATTCTAAGCAATTAGCTCAATTTTAAATTTAATTATTACAGTAGCAAAAGATTATTTCCGCTTGGAAAAAAAATGATTACAACGTATAAAGAAGCTTACTTTTAAAAGTAGATATTCAGTTCTACGCAATATCTTGAAAAGAGGCCTAGAAAAATTAGCATCCCCTAAAAAAGCCATTAAAAAATATACGTGTTTGCTGGTAAACTCTAGAAAGGCTTAGAAGTCAGTCTTGCTGCTGGGTCACTGTCTTGGTCTTTTTTATCGCAGTAAAATATACCTTATGAATACAGAGACCAATAAAGTAAATAATATAAAGCACACACATAATTAAAGTCGATTTTCACCGCCAGATGGCGAGTGGACCATTACGTGTAATCCTGCAAGTGGTGGCCTATAGAGATAATTATATAAGTAAGAGCAATGCAATGTATACTATATATTTGTTCGTATCTAATTCTGGTATTAAAAGCTTTTTATAGGGATAAATCTCCTCTCCTCTTTCTATATTCTTATGTCTTGTGAAACTAATCTATGAAACAATACGCTCCCGGTATTAAAGGCTTGTTGTAGTTTTAAATGAGGTGCATAATTAAGATGTCAAGTCGAGGAATATGTTTCATATATATAGTACAAAGCGTTGTTGCTGAATTTTTTCTTCCAGTTGCTTTAAGTTGTTTTAAGTTGAGCGGTATGCGTTTAAGCATTAACTAATGACACGAAAATAAATTTAGTTTTCTCTGAATAGTCCCTTTATCCTAGTCACGTTTTCTTGTATCGGCTTTTTTTATTTAAATTCAAGTTCGAGAATCTAATTATTAATCGTAGTGGTATCCAGAGACGTTTCGGGAGTGTCAGTAATATTGCAGTGATACAGGCGCTTCGAATTGAGCCTCGAATATCGCGACACATTTCCATGAAGTGCTCTCCGATGGAATACTAGGTACTGGATGCAGAATTCCTTGAGATTGTCGCATTTATACCCAAAATAGGAGTAAGGTAGTTTCTTACGCATTTGCATAAAATCAATAACTCAATTTGCATGATTATGGTACTGCGTATATACCTTTTATTACTTGACTATGGTAAACATTTGTAATTCTATAAATGTATGAGATGTCAGAGCCTTGAAAAATACTGTTACTAATTTTTTTGTAGGCATCTATAAAGGCACAACAAATTTTCCTTTCTTTATGGTTAAAATTTTAAATCGATTGAACATGAATAAAATTTTGTTATAGATAACCTAGGGAACGATGTTAATAGTTGATAGTTGAATCGAGGGCCGGTAAAGTAGGAATCTAAATTACAAGTACCATGAGACTCTAATAAGCTAGCTATAAAACGTAGCTATTACAGCATCAAACACAATACCTAAAAAATGTCATGTAATCTGTGAGTTTGATAAATATTTTTTTATAGATAACGTATAAATTAAGCTTTGATAATTAATTCACGTATTACGTACAGTGTTATGAAACCTGTGATTTAATAGATTTCCCTCGTAGTCATAAGACCGTGTGGCCTAATGGATAAGGCGTCGGACTTCGGATCCGAAGATTGCAGGTTCGAGTCCTGTCACGGTCGAACAATCTTTTTGCCATTATTTATAATAATTGAGAATTTAGCAAACCTCACTAGTCTTTGATTTGTGTGACGTATTCAACTTGTTATGTGGATCATCACTCAATCGATCTTTATAACTTTAAAAATAGCAAAATTGGTTTTTTATAATAACTCTTCACAATACAGTTGATAAATATTTTTATACTTTAACGATAACAAGTTATATTTGTCAGCATAATATTCACTACAAGTGTAAGATTAGTTAGTTTGAGTTAATTTTGTCGCTATACTACTTTTAATTAAGATACTGCTTATTCATCACATGAAACTTTGCTAATTGCAACGTAGCTAAAACGTGTATTTTATAACTAATATACTAAAAACAGAACGCAATTTTGAAGAGAAAATTAATTCCAGTGAAATATTTAGTTTGATTTAATATTAACCATCAATTAATATGCATTATTTTTAAAATATGAATTTTCACATTTACATTTACAGTAATTTTATTAATAAATATTCAAATACGTTCGAAATCAAAATATTGTTATTGCGCGTCGTAAAGATTTAGTGAAAAAAAATGCAAAAAAGAGGTTTCTCCTTCGAGCCGGATTTGAACCAGCGACCTATGGATTTCTATCTTTGAATCAACCAACTACAGTCCACCGCTCTACCAACTGAGCTATCGAAGGGATATGTCGGGAAGTGAAATTTTACTCTACTTGAAGCAGATGCAAGTTTATTTCTAGCGTCTCTATGACCATTTTAATCATCAGTTTGTTAAATAATAAGGCAACAATCACGAGTTCAACGAAAAAACTTCAAGTTATTGTAAGTAAGTGTAAAGTATGATTCGTAATAATTACAATTAACCTAAAACCTCATATTAACGTTAAAATGATGCATCTACATACTCGGATGATGAGTTTCCTTTCATTTCAATACTTTAAATCATTTCAATTGTTACAAACTTTTTCAGTTACATATTCATTTTAATAATTACTAATATATTCAATTATAATTTGTTTTTGTTTTGAAAGTAATTTTGTTTCAACGTTAATTGTCGTGTTAAAAATTAAAAAAATTAATTTGCTCATCAATTTATTTAAATAATCAATTATTGAAAGTATTTTTTTTAACATTAAAATTAAATTTATATTTCTGTTGACAAATATCACTTTTTAAAATTTCTAGTATTAGAATTAAAATTCTTTTATTTTTGCAAAAATTGTTAAAAGAACTCAAAATTATAACAATCTTCACCTTCTTTGTTTTTCATGATTCTTGCCATTCCCTCAAGACTTGATTTTTCAGAAGATGAATCATCAACAAGTTTCAGATTCTTCTTTGTAATACTATCTAGACTATGCGGGCTGAAAGCATGATCTGGGAAATTTCAAATTGTACCATTGTTTTTGTTAGCATGTCTGGTTTCAGATTGATCCTTAACATAACTGTGATTTTTTTTATATTTAAGTAAAAAAATATTTCTATTTTTTAATGACATCAATTTCGTCAGTGGTTCATTACAGAGACGTTTTTCTATTTAGTCTCTTGGAGACATTTTGATTCATTTTTAGTTAGAAAAATGAAAATATACTAAATGATTCAGGCAAATATAATTTTGTATTGGAAATTGTAATAATATTACGAATAATTATGACGTATCTGGATAATATCATACGATCTTTTAATTCATTAAGGATTTAAAAATTTAAATTACAATGATTTGGGATCAGAGAATTTGATTTGAGGATATATCACATCACAATATTTTACTTTTAGATTACTTCCTAAAAGCAGAGATATATAACTCCAATAACATATTCTATCATCCATTTATATCAAGTAATATCTATTAATTCAAAACTGATATCTTTCGTTATTTAAGCATAGACCCGATTTTTAATTGACACAAAATTTCTTCGATACATGAAATTTAGTGGAAAAGTAGACAGTTAAACTAAACATAAACTGTAAAACAGAATTCATTTAGATAAAAATCATACAAATGGTAAATATCCTTAATATATGCCCTCATGAATAATTTTAAAGACCCTGTTTTACGAAAAAATTTGTTTATGATTTCTCATGCTGTTGAAATTTTTTTCAACAGTTTACCACTGTACCAACTGAGCAATTAAAATTATTACCTACAGAGACAGTTTAATGCTTGTACATACTTTAAAAGCCTCCAGAATTTTTGGAGTGTTTTTATAATCACGTAAGCGTGCAATTTTTCCTGAATTGCGTTTTTCCTAAGTTTTGTAAAAATAAATGATACGTAGTCGAATTATTTTAAAAAATTCATCAGATTTCAAAATAATGGAGATTATAAAATTAAACCGATTATAATACTTTTGAGAATTACATGAAAAGCGTACTTAAAGAAACCCTGTTATAAACTCATCAATATTATCTTAAAGGTTTTCTTAGAATGACGTAAACCGTAAAATGAAGCAATTTACTTTTACTATACACGAGGGCCTAAGTAGAGCAAGAAACAGTTAATGGAACTTTTTAATAATTCGATTAATGTCAATTTCTTATGACGCCGCTTTTATCATAAGTTTTCAAAGAGATTAAAGTTGAAATCTCATAAAGTAAAGATTTATAGGGAATCGATATTTTTATTAACTTTAATAAATTTTGAACGCACGTGTGCATTATGATGTTCGACAGTTGTTGTATTTGCTACAAGTGCTGCTTTATTTTAATATCATCTCAAATTATAATCTCGCTGGCCATTTAATCTACAAAACACGTTTCAGGCTATCAATTTTTTATTTATAAAGAGAGAGGTATCAGCTGCTGTAGTAGTTTTGAAAATTTTACGATCGTTTATAAATTACCACAATCGAACGAACGAACAATCGAAATATCATTACGCGATCAATAATTAATTCAGTATCAACTTCTCCCTAGCTATTTCGGGCACCAAAAGTACACAAGTCCATAAAATCCCAGTAATAGATCGGAAAATATGTTTATTTTGCACTTACATTCAATATAATATCGAGAAAAAGCTCGATCGAACACGAGCGTAAATAGAGTCATAGAACCTCACATTAAAGCTTATTAGGACGAGGACGGAAATTGCGGGATTGACCCCGTAATACCCCCAGCGGTAGAGAAAAAAATGTCAAATATTCGTGTATTCGTGCGCGGCGGCCCCCGACTTTTCTCTCTCTCTCTCTATCTTTCTATATTTATGGCCTGGCGCACTCGAGAGGGGGCGAGAACCAAAGCGTATCTAGCGTATACATAATAGCGACCGTAGCGAGAGACCGCGGAAAAATGCAGGTGAAAAATATATGTATATACCCACACGACGCAGACCGAAAGTGTCACGCGCGCGTATAGTGGCACACGAGAGCGGGAAATATTATACATATTTCGAGAGAAAAGCATATGTGGCGCGCGAAAAACTGGCACTATTTATCGAAGGTTGCGTGCCGCGCTGCTGCTGCTGCAATTTTCAATTTGTCAAGCTTATACAATGGGGGCTTGTGCGTGGGTGTCTGCTCAGCGATTCTTTTCTTTCTCTATCTTTTTTTTTTCGTACTCGTTTCATCCCGATCGCGTCACGAGACGTACGCGTGTGCAGCTGGTGTATGCGTACGCGAATTTTCGAGTAAAAATAGAGTGAAAAATTAAACGAGAAAACAATGAGAATTTTTCGCGCGGTTCATCGCACTCCGATTCGAGCGATCCCTTCAACAGGCGCACACGCGCGTCACTCGTTTCGAGCTCGTGGAAAAAAAAAAAACAATTATAAATACGCGAGTGCAAAAATACGAGGAAGGAAAAGAGTGTCATTCGACTCTGGCGCGCGAACGTATATAAACGTCGCTCGCGCTCGCAGCTCGAGAATTATGCAAATAAAATAACATCTTATATAGTCAGCCAGCTAGTGCAGCTATACTATAGCAGCAGTGGCAGCAGCGGCGAAGCATCGCTGCGCGATATAACGTGCACGTGTACGCGCGGGGCTTCTCCGCCGGCCGGGGGATTTTAGTCCGATGTGCAGCGCGTGCATATATATATTACAAGCGCGTCGCGCGATGATAAATCCCCTTAATACATAGACATTTATTTTCCGTGTACTCCTTTTTTTTTCTTTTATCTTTTTTTTTTTTTTTTTTTTTACAAATAGCGACTCTAGGCTCTCGAGGGAAGCCTAAAAATTTCTCAGAAGTTTGCACGCTTATAATGGTATATAAGAAAAAAAAGGGCAAAGAACGTATATGTTCCACGCGTTGCCCTCTCTCCACGTTTCTGCGCTGCACATCTGGTTTCGCGCGCGATCTGGATTCGGCAAATTTCGCGCTGCGCTGCAATAGTCATCGTCGTCTTCGGAGTCGTTGCGCTACATAATGAAGATCTATATAGAACGACGACTGCTGCACACGTGTCGCAGCTTCTATTTTCTCCGCCGAATCAAAAGTATCATAATGCACGCGGGTCAGAGTTCCAATTAGGTTTGACGTCGTCGTGTGCATTCTGTCCTCGTTGGTTTCCTGGAAGCGGTTGAAAATCAATTGAATTAATGATGCGAAGCGGCGACGGAGCGTTATATATGCAGCAGCAGCAGCGCATATACACTCTTTTTTCTCTATAGCAGCACGGAGCGGCCGTTCGAGTTACACTACGGCGCTAAGCGATTTGACACATTTTTCAGCCATTGTACTTGGACGACGACGACGACGACGACGCGTTATCGAACCGATCGGTTCTCTCGGGGTCCCCCCGCGGCTTCTATACATTTGCGCCTCGGCGCTGTGCGATAAGAAGAATTCACTCTCGTTACGGCGCGTGTCGTTGTCTATAATTATTATCTAATCGATGTGTACATTTCGGATTTATTATAGTGCTGCCTAGTTCGGCCTGTTAGCAGCTACTGCTGCCGCTGCTTACTTGTCGAGACAGAGACTGTAAACAAAAGAGAGAATCATGTGAAGCGATACATTGACCCTAACCCAGAACGATATAAATCATACATTAGCCAGGGTAATGGTCCATTTCTCTCTCTGTCTCTCTCTCTCTCATCTAGCCCAAGAGTTCATCAATCCGCAATTTGAGCTCAGCATATATATATACGTATAATCGGGCCGCAAGCTCGACGGAGTTCACCTCTCCCCCCCGCCCACGCAGCAACCCGCGCACACAACTCTCACGCACACTGTATAAGCCACACGTATATAGAGGTAGGTAGGGAACATAATAAGCCCGCAGAGAGAGAGAGAGAGCTTGCGAGCTTATCATTACGCTCGACGAAGCTCGATAGTCGCGGGCGTATTATATACGTACTTTATATAGGATAGATATATATAAAAGCTCGCAAGCTCATCATCGTCGTCGTCATCGTCATCATCGTCATCATCGTTGTCGTCGTTGTTGCAGTGTCTATTATCAGCTCGTCGCGGTCATTATATATCTCATTTGCCGCGGATCGTCATCGTTGTTACACGTATACATACGCATCGTCGTCGTCATTGCACATATCCACGCGCTATGATACAGAGCTGCATATGGCATACGTATAATCGCTAAAGCTCTCGGCTATATAATACACAGGGATATATAGCGGCTCGTCGTCGTCGTCGACGGATTACATATATATATCGTAGTATGGCGCGCAGACGCAGTAGCTGCCTGTACTACAGTTGAACTGCACACACGACGAGCGTTGAAGTCGGCGCGCGATACGTATATAGGGATATACACCAGAGCGAGAGAGAGAGAGAGAGAGAGAGAGAGAGAGAGAGAGCTATATGTATAGAGGAGCTCCGCGAAGGCGGTAGCAGAGGCTAGGCTAGGCTAGCTTAAGCAGTATTCGCTCGTTCCGAGCGGCTACCAGCGCTACTCCGCTGCAGTCTGGCGTCGCTGGTCGACGACGTTGCCCGATTATATCGTTGCTACTGCTATACCGCTACCGTTGCTGTATGCTCTACTGCTGCTAGATTATAAAATTGTGCGCGCGCGTGTGAGTGTGTGTCGACTGTGTGTGTGTGTGAAAAGCTGCACGCGGCCCAGTTGCGCGTCGCGAATCGTCTTTATTATCATTATTATTGTCAAAAGTGTGCGCGCTGCCGTGTGTGGAGATCTTTTTCAAGCTCTGGTATACCCCAAAAAGTCGGGGACGCGGGGACTACTTATACTATGTATACGAGTCGACGAATAGCACGTATACTCGTGAAACGCTGCACGCAACCCAATAACCCCATCTCGCGACTGCTGCTGCCGCTGCTGCACCGCTGCTGCTGCTGATGCTGCTGATGCTAAAGTGTAGTGTGCTAGTGAGCAAGAGTGAGCATAATATATAATAATGTGATGTCAGTGCGTGTGTTGTGTTGTTGAATAAGAATACGAGAAAAAATAATGTGTGTGACGCTCGATCGGTTGTCATAATCAACAGTTAATTGGGAAACGATATAATACACGAGAGCCCCACCTCTTGCTCTCTCGTCGCTCACACTCTCTTACGTGCATCCATAAATAAAAAACGAAATAACAACGAGTGACAAGAAGAAAGCAATGAAAAGTCGGCCGTACGTCAAGTGCGCGGCGATCCTGTGCATGAGCAGCGGATCTGGCGACGAGCAGGATCAAGAGGACGACGAGGACGATCAGAGACAACGTCTCCTCCCGTTGTGCACGATGTGATATTCAGTGGCATTTAAGCTCTCTACAACGACGTCGACGACGACGACGACGACGATCATGTCCGATATCGCTGCTGCCATTTAGTGTAGCGCAAGCACACACACACACAGGTTCAGCCTGCGAGCGATCCATTTAAATATCTCCAGTGAATGCGACACAACGAGACAAAAGGAAGTGCGCGAGACAAGAGGAAGAGCGAGAGAGCATCAGCCGGGCGTCATCGCGTTGGCGGCACCCAATGGATATCTTTGCGGAGAGGCCAAGCGCCGAGGCTAAGACAAAGGTATCGTCGACAAAAGCGAGCGAGCTGCGACCTATAACGAACGGGGCAGCCTATAAACACGCAGAGAGAAGGATTTGATTTTTACAAAAGGCAGGTTGTGTAACGATGAACGAATGCTTGCACGCGGCCGCCGTCTGCCGTGGGTTCTCCTCCCTAACAGCGAGAGCTTCGCGCGTCGAAAAAGGGGGTGTGCTGTGTACGCTGCTACACACTACGCAGTAGTCGTGGTGAAATTTTCCGCCCGCGTCACGTAGACCGCGCGCGTAGACATCGAAAATAAATAAAATAATAACGATGAAAAAAAAAGTAGGAAGCTCGCGAAAGCTCTCGGGCTCGGAGCTCGATCGTTTTTGGTATGTTCTACTGCTGCTGCTGCTGGTATATTATGTATAAACGCGCTGCTGCTGCGAGTGTGTATGCCACTGCTGCTGGACGATCGATGGCGTCCTTCGCGCCCCTGCCGCTCGCGAGCGCAAACCCAACGTCGGTAGCGAGTATAGAGAGAGAGAGAGAGAGAGAGTAGCAGTAGAAGAGAAAGACAGAGTAGACGAGGAGAGAGAGAGAGAGAGAGATCGATCGGCCCGCGACCAACTTGGCTTTTGTCGTCCCCTCTCGGCTCTATGCATACACACGCGCGCTATATACGTTATATATTTAAAAGCTCTATGTGCTAGGCTCACTGTGACGTACGTGTGTATAACGCGCGTGAGATTGTGTGCGTTTCGTTATATATTCACGCGCGTGTTGTATGCCGTATGACAAAAAGGCCTACGGGAAAACGCACGCGCGCGCGTGGCCAGGCTCTCTCTCTCTCTCTACTATCCTATGTATATACGTGTGTGCGATGAACTTTTGCCTCGATAGCGAGCGAGGGTGGCTAACTCTTTTTTTTTGCCTCGTTCCTCTATTATACCCCGCGCTTTGCTTTTAGCGCACAAAAAAAAAAGAAAGAAAGTAAATTACCGCGAGGGACGGTGAAATGTGATTACGCGCGAGCGAGCTGTCCCCCGTATAACCACACCACCTTTTATTCCATTGGATATACGTTATACGTGCAGTTCTCCGAGAGAGGTATTATTGACGAATATGTATATAGATACGGCGAGCGCGCGCGCGTCACGAGACCGTACGCATATACGTACAGTGTGTATTCGACGCGAGGCTGTCTGGAAATTTTTTTTTTTGCTTTCTGCTCGTAGTAGCAGCGCAGAGCGGAGCTTACCCATTACGTATACGCGTGTTTTATACGCGTTGATGGGCTTGAAAACAGCTGTGTTTACCCGGCGATATTCGCGCAACGCGTCGTAACGATGTAAAGCGAGTACGAGGTGATTCGAGCTTGATTGTTGTCACTTATTTTATTTACAAAAATTTCCTAAACGATGAAGCGTCTTACGAATCGCCCTGAGTACAATTCAATTGAATATAGCACATCGTAAGCGGACACGAAAATTATTATCTCGATTCTCGCGAACGTCGCAACTCTCAACTTGTTTCTCTTGATTGAAAGTCTCGCGTCGCATCGCGCACCGCACCTACATACACAGCGCAAAAACTTTGTACCAAAAAGAAACTCTCATTTCTCTCGACGATACGCGCGAGTCGGATGAAAGTGAATGAGGCGAAGAGTTCGCAAGCTCGGCCAGCAGCAGCAGCAGCAGCGGAGAGAAAGCTGTATACGCGAGATACATCGCGTGATAAATTCTTAGCCATGAAAGCTCAAGCTCACCTACACCCACACAGATATAAAAGTGCAAGAAATGAAATAAAGTTGCTGCCGCCGCTCGGCTACATCTTCTCTCGTGTGCGTGCGTGCAGCAGCAGCAGCAGCATATACATAGCCTATAGCTCTCTCTCACGTGGGCTCGGCGTGCAACTATACAGATATAGCCGCGTGCACTTGCCAGTTGGCTTGGCGCCGTGAAAAAGACACCAGAAAGAGATAGAGAGCAGCCGAGCAGCCGAGCGAGAAAGAGAGATAGAGATAGAGAAAAGGGAGTCCCCATGCGCTTGCGCCGATGCCGGGCTTGTCCGCCACCGCCGCCGCCGCCGTCGTTGCTTTTTGAACACACACACACCACACCATGCACCATTGTGCACATGCACGCGTATATATAAGGCAAAGCTCGCGTGTATGTGCCAGCAGCAGCACACGCGTATTTAATTCGGAGCGGCAACGGCGGCGGTGGCGGCGCGCGCGCACCGCACCGCACCACGAGCCGGTCGATACTCGTGCATATATACAGTCACGCACGCACACACGAATACATATAGAGAGAGAGCGAAAAGCGGAGTATATACCTGGCACCCTTTTGCGCTGCTGCTGCTTGGGGGGTGGCCCGGCTAGCCTCTGTCTGTTTCTCTCTCTCTCTCGCTTGCATATTCATGCCGCTCGCATAGCTGCTGCTGCTGCTGTACACTCCTTTTGGCGAATGAGGCGCGCATATATATACACTTACACGCATACAGACGTATATCATATTGTACACATTGTCAGTTGTATATACATTTCGAGCTGTACAGCGCGAGGCGATGTATACATTTTATATTAAATACATATTGTACGCGATCCGTATATTGTCTACGTGACACAATAATATATACAACATCGCGAGCATCTCGTACTGTGTACAATACACGTGAACATCGAGGCTCGTTTCTCTTCTGCTGCCGCTGCAGGTGTCGATGATCGTCTGTATATACACAAGTGCATATACGGTATACGAGTGTGTTCGTAAGCAGTGGGTGTGTTACGCTACGTGTGCCTCGTGCGCCTCCTACTTCTTTATTTTTTCATCGGGCGCGTGCCGTCCTTATCTCATGGTTTGCTCGCGAGAGCTAAGGCACTCTCCAAAACGATAAATATGCACATCGGTAAGTGTGTTTGTGTGTGCGTGTGCATCAGATGTTGACGCTTCGACTTTTTCTCTCCTCCTTTATTTTTCCTCGGCATTACCTATCGACGACGGATATTTCGTCGATCCTAGGCGAAGGCCGGAAAATGGAAAAACCACGCGGTGCGCGTGTGTTTCTACTATTTCTGCCGGATATTACACGCGCGAAGAGGAAAAAGAGCGCCAATCTCTTTTCATCTCTCGAACACGCGTCGAAAGCCCCTCGAATCTATTTACGACGTGCGCTGGCGAAAAGGTGTAAATCAATCGTCGTTACACGCGTCGTAAAATATATCGCGTCGAAAGCTGCGCGGCACACTTTGTGCACCAATGTGCTTATAATATAGCGATGTAACACGGCAGCGTGCAAATGCATCGCTGTAAATGTATGCAGGCGAACACGAGAGCTTATTTCTCTATGTACGATGTATAAAGGAGTATAAAATTAGCTGCGCAACTCGATTGCCGCGTCGAGCACTGCACAACAATACCATCGAACCGATATTATCAAGCGCCGAGGCACAAACGATGAAACAATAATAACGAACGGGCGAGGAATTCGCGGCTATAATGAACGCATATTTATGAGGTATTATGTGCAGGTTCATCGCGAATTTCTCTGTAATATATTCCCTCTTTTCCTCTTTTCCACCTGACACGATCGCTATGCGCATTATCAAGTTCCCCCCGGCGATAATTCGCGCAATTTTTGTCTTCGCTCGTAAAAAGCTCTATGTGACTCGAGTCGTGGTGTGGTGCATCATCGCAAGGTGCAAAGGCAGCAACCACTCGCTCTTTCTCTCTGTACAGGTTAAATTCGCAAAGGCAATATATAATGCGCAGGGCCGACTCGTTTTCTTTTTATATATATAGACGATTTTCGCCTGCAAACGAACCCGTACCTGTACTATGCATTTTGTCGTGTACACAGGCAAGTTGAGCTTACATAGATATATTGCATCGCTGGAGGTATAAATGATCAAAGGGTAAGATATCGATTGTTGCACACAGGCCAAGCTCATCTCTCTCTCTCTCTTTGTCGACAGCGACAAAAAGGCCTCTCTCTATATCTATCTATCTCTGTGTACAGTGGCTCATAATACTCTAACGAATGTACATAGAGCTTTGGACATAGACAGAGACAGAGAGAGAGAAAGACGAAAATTTACGTGTAACAGAAAAGTGAATTACGAGCTCAACGGCTAGTTTATTACGAGCTTTAATTTATAGACCGATACTTGGGTAAACTGATACGCGACGCGGCTCTCTCCCCCACCATCGTCGCTTTCGCTCGTTGCGTTATTTTTTATCGAGTAGTGAAAGAAGGAATGAAAAAAATCGCGTCGCGCTCATTGTCAAACGGAACGAGGCGTGATTAATTCAATGTAATCCAATATCGAGTCGGTCGAGTGTGCTTCATCAGACGTTTTATTGAAAAAGACTTTTTTGAGATGGAGATACAGAAAGATGTTACATTATAAAATTATATTATTATCGTTATTACGACTATATATATTTACACGACGTCTGCTTGAAGGCAGCTCTCTCACCACTATATACCGCTTTCGTATCTAATGGCTGAAATATCGCTTTCCTTTTTTTTGCAGATACTGACGGCGTCTGACGAGCTCAGAATGAGTTCCTGCGGGGTGTACCTGTCTCAGCTGCGAGCCATGCTCGTTAGGAATCTGCTGCTCAAGAAGCGAGAAAAAAGAAAAACGATCGTGGTACGTATATCGTATATAAATCCATCCCATCCATCCGTTATATATTATAAATTGATGCTGCGCTGCACAATATCGTCAATTTTCTCCCACGTTTATAACCTTTACTCTCTCTCTCTCGCGATATTTTGCTGTAATTGTGTGCGAGAAAGTAAGCGTAGCCTTGAGATATAGAAAAAAAAGGAAAAAGAAAACGAAACGAACGAGAATCGCAAGGTATACGTTTCATTAGACACGCTTGGCAGTAGTAGTACAGTCACGCGATGCGCCTTTTTCCCTTTTTTTTTCTTTTGCTACCCACACACATAAACACACACGTACACACGTACACACGTACACGTGTAAACGGTTCTCTGTCTCTCTGTCACCGGGTGCTCTTGCACTCGACCAGCATTGTCCCAATATACACATTTGAAAAATCGATTCTCAACTCTCGGTGTATTTCGAAATTGTTTCGCGCAGTAAACTATGACTATCTCGCACACAGAGGACACGTGTGTAGATGATGCCACGAGCTGGCAAGCCCCTATACACATACACACGCATTTACGTGCTGGTTAGTTTGTTTTTTTTTTCTCTATTTCCTCTTCTCTGCGCGTAAAATCGCGTGCGTGCCAATTAGGCCAAGGACTATACTCGAGGCACAGTCGCTTTTCAATGGGACGTCGAAGCGGTGGCTGCGGTGGTGGCCGAAGCTTTTTTCTTGCTAGCCGGTGTTGTCGTAGTTTGCGACGACGTCTTGGACGATGTCTTCGTCGGGTTGCTGCCGCTGCATCCAGAAGAGGAAGTAGCCGCAGCAGTGGTAGCATTGCGAGCCGCTGCCGGACCGGCCGACTCTTTGCCTCGGAATATGGCCGGGTCGAGGAGGTTGGTCGGGCCGTCGTTCCACAAGCTCGTCTCCGTCGTGTCGGACTGACTCGCGGGCGCCACTTCCGGCAGCAGATGCGGCCCGATCAGCAGATAAACCTGCGAATCATCGCGCGCACGATGAGCCGAAAAAACGATCGATCGGTGCGCGGATCGGTAATACACTTACCTGCTCGAGCCAGGTGGGCAGCTGTAGGCCGGCGGCGCAGATCTGCCACTGGGGCAGCCCGAGATGCACCAGCATCATGCGAAAGTACCTGCAGAAGCTGTCGGCCAGTCGGTACCAGCGCCTACCGGTCACGCTGGAATCGCCACCGCCGCCTCGATACAGCCAGACCGAGGGCTCGTCCTGGTCCGGCTGCAGCTGATAGGCCAGCAGCACTCGACAGTCCTGGCCGCACTCGGCGAGCTCGAACAGTTTGCAGCGCGAGCCGCCGAAAAAACTCGGCTCGACCAAGGGCGGACAACTCTTTTTGTGGCTCTCCGACTTGTTGCTGCTGCTGACGATGCTTCCCGACGACGAGCTCGCTTCGGCGCTGGAATCGCCGCCGCTTCCGCTGCCACTCTCGGCATGTTGTTGTTGTTTCTGCTGTTGCTCCTTGCCGATCGGTATACCCGTGTGGCGCTTCAGACTCGCCAGATCCTTGATCTCCATCCGGCCGATGGGAAACTCCTCGCCGGCTATCTCCAGGCTCCAGGTGAGCAGGAAGCCGTCCGTCGACGTGTAAAAGTTGCGCAGGTCCTCCGTGAGCAGGCAGCAGTGCTTCTGCTCCCAGCTCGACAGCGCCAGGCGGTCGCAGGCGCCGCGTCGCTCCAGCTGGACGTTCTTCACGCACGGATTCGCCTCGAGCAGCTTGGTCGCGCCCAGCGTGAGATTCTCGTAGAACGAGTCCTCGCTCACCACGTCCACGAAGAACGACATGACGACGATGATGATGATGATTTTTGAATGCACGAGGCGATAAGATTGATTGGTGTATCGAAAAAAAAATAAAGAAAAAATTTTGAGAGTGGTTTTCGCGGCTGTTACTACTACTGTGCGCGCCCGGCCCGTTGCAAGCTCTGTGTATACGTACGATGGATTTGTTGGCCTCTGCCACAAAGCACAGAGCAATGTATAAAGTTTGCTCGGGCAGCCATGGTAACCGCGGCTCTCTCCGTTGTCGGGGCGCGCTTTTCTATAGGCATACACTATCGCACATACACACACAATTGTATCGCACACGATGAACCGACCGAAAAGCACGAGGATAGAGAAAGAGAAACAAGAGGGAGTAGTAGATGGTACTTTTATTAACTTGTTCCGCGAGCAAGAATGAAAAAGCTCCGAACGCTCGAATAGATACAGCGCAATCGCCCTGAAATGAAAAAAAAAAAAAATTAATGATTTCTCGTCTCTCTGTTTCGCAGGAAATTTTCTTGCCGCTGTACATCCTCGGCATACTGATCGTGGTGAAAGTTTTGATACCGAATCCAAATTATCCCGCCATCGTCGCCCAGAGGCAGGAGGGCGACATCTTCGAGTTCTTCAATGGTTACAAGAATAACACCATTGCCGTTGTGCCGAATACAACAGAGACCCTTGTGAGTGTCGTCGATGCGAGATTATATACATTGGAGCAAAAAATTTTATATCTTGGCTAATGACCTTGTTTTCGTTTTTTTCGCAGACTTTTTTAAACAATATGAACGTGTTGTGGATGTCCATGTGGGATCGTCCAGCTAGGTATAATTTGAACTTCATCGTATTCGATACGAAGGACGAGCTGCAGGCCGCCTACTGGAAGGAGCCCTACAGCATACCCCTCGCAGTGATATTCGAGGATCCGAAGCCAATTTCTAGTAATTTATTGTGAGTTCCTTGAATTCCTTTCAAGTCGAGTTTACGTTCTATTAAAAAAAAAACAAAATTTTAACTAACGACAATCGATGCAGATACGAGATACGAACGAATCCCGTGTACACGGCGCCACCCTCGCCCACCGAGATGTTCTCCTCGGGCGTCACCTGTCGCAAGGAGACCAACTGGATGGGCGGCATGCTGTCCATCGAGACGGGCGGCTCCTGCCCAGTCAACAATTACTTCCTGTCGGGCTTCATGGCGCTCCAGCTCATGATGGACTTCACCAAGATCCGCCTGGACACGGGCATCAGCGAGATCATGATACCCGACATCAGGCTCGAGCTGTTCCCGAAGGAGGCCTTCACCGCCGACTGGATGCTCGCCTTCCGCGTGGTCATACCGCTCTACATGGTGATCGCCCTGTCGCAGTTCATCACGTATCTGCTGATATTGATCGTGGGCGAGAAGGAGAAGAAGATCAAGGAGGGCATGACAATAATGGGCCTGAAGGATTCGGTATTCTGGTAAGAGCATATACATATACCTTTATTCTAGCGAGTAAGAGCATATCTTAATTACATCGTTTTCCACAGGCTGTCTTGGTTCATCATTTACGCTATTTTCGTACTGATCCTGTCGGCGGTGGCGGTGGTACTGCTGTTCACTCTGCAGATGTTCCAGCACACTCACTTCCTACCGATATTCCTGCTGGTCGTACTCTACAGCTTCTCCGTGATCATGTTCGCCTTCATGATCACGCCCTTCTTCGACAAATCACAGGTCAGCCAAACGCAACCATCTCGCTAAAATAAATTAAAATCATCATTCGTTTCCTCAACGATATACTCTTATCGCACAGACGGCCGGCGTACTGGGCAACTTCGCGGTGACGATTCTCAGCCTCATGTACTTCATACAAGTGTTCGTGGACGACTCGAGCTCGGTGTCGTTCTGGCTGGTCTCGCTGCTCTCGCCGACGGGCGTCGCCCTGGCCATGGACAAGGCGCTGGTGCTCGATCTCCAGGGCGAGGGAGTGAACTTCGACAATCTGTGGTCGGGGCCGGGTATACCGTTCGGCGGTAGCCTCGTCATGATGACCCTCGACATATTCCTCTACGCGTTGCTGGCCTACTACCTGGACTCGGTGTTGCCCTGTAAGTTTCGCGAAAATTCGTATGCAGTGATCGTTATTTATAGTATTGCGATTGTTTACAGCGGAATACGGCGTCAAACGTCCACCCTGGTTCTGCTTCATGCCGAGATTCTGGTGCAAAAAGTCCAAAGCTCCAAGAGTAAGTCGCATCTCTCGATGTGTATCCCGCAAAAACGACTCGACATTCGTAACACGATTATTATTTTCTCGATCGCAGGCAGCCACGGTGAACGGCGAATCGAATTCCTTCATACCGGGCGAGGAGACGAATCGCGACGTCGAGCCGGTGGTGCGCGAGATGAAGGGCCGCGAGGCCATACGCATCGTCGACCTCTACAAGTCCTACAGCAAGTGTCGCCGGGCCGAGGTCAAGGCCGTCAACGGCATCAATCTCACCATCTACGAGGGCCAGATCACTGCGATCCTCGGCCACAACGGCGCCGGCAAGACGACCCTGTTCAACATACTGACGGGCCTCACGGCCCCCACGACGGGCACCGCCCTCATCTTCGGCTACGACGTGCGCGACTCCAACGACATGCGCACCATACGCAGCATGACGGGCGTCTGTCCGCAGCACGACATACTGTTCGATCTGCTCACACCCCGCGAGCATCTCGAGTTCTTCGCGGCGGTGCGCGGCATACCGCGCAATCAGATCGAGCACGAGGTGAAGAAGACCCTGAAGGACATCGACCTGACGGAGAAGGCCGACACCTTCGCCAAGTACCTGAGCGGTGGCCAGAAGCGCAAACTCTCCGTGGGCATCGCCATCATCGGCGACCCCAAGATCATCATACTGGACGAGCCCACCGCCGGCGTGGATCCGTACTCGCGTCGACAGATGTGGTCGTTTCTGCAGTCGCGACGCCACGGCAAGGTCATACTGCTGACGACGCACTTCATGGACGAGGCCGACATACTGGCCGATCGCAAGGCGGTGATCAGCAAGGGCAAGCTGCGCTGCTGCGGCAGCTCGCTCTTCCTCAAGAACAAGTTCGGCATCGGTTATCATCTCACGTGAGTTTACATATATACACTTGACGCACCGATGAATTTTATCGTCGAGCCGCGTAAAAATAATCTATTATTTTCATCAGGCTGGTACTGGAGGGCAACGTGCGCGAGAACGCCATAGCCCGGCTGGTCTCGTCGCACGTCAGCAAGTCCGAGAAGGCGCGCCGCCACGGCCGCGAGCTCAGCTTCATACTGCCGCACAACTCGGTGGACAATTTCGCGCCCCTGTTCTCGGCGATCGAGCACGAGATCAGGACCAAGTCGCTGCGCCTCGGCATCAGCAGCTACGGCGTGTCCATGACGACCCTCGAGGAGGTCTTTCTGCATCTGGAGAAGGACGAGGAGACCGACACCACCATGGACAATCTGTCCAAGAAGATGGTGCGCAATCGTGCGTTGAGCCGATCGCTGTCGCTGCAGAGCAAGAGCACCTCGTATCAGAGCCTGCAGAACGAGGGCAACGTGGTGCAGAACGACAACGCGCTGAAGGGCACGAGCGACTGCCCGGACGGCACGTCGCAGGACAAGAATCCGCAGATACTCGGCCTGGGCCTGGATCCGATCAAGATTCAGCCGCGCGTCTTTCAGACGTTCTACGCCATGCTGAAGCTCAGAGTGCTCAGGCTCATGAGGAGCATACAGCTGCTGTACTTCACGGTGGTCGCGCCGCTCACCCTCGTCTTTCTCGGCCTCTATCTCAACAGCATACAGACGGTCGAGGTGAAGATGCACAGCCTCGAGCTCAACGACGGTCAGTACATACACCCCCTCATCATTGCTTCCATTGGAATTAAGTATTATACGTTGGAAACTTATTTCGATCCCACAGACAGCTACGGCGACGACACTCGGCTCATGTACATCAACAGCTCGGGTCGCGACATCAGCCCGGTGGTGAATCAGGTCTCGAACATCGTGGGCCGCGTGGCCGAGTACAACGGGACCTTCGCGGAGCTGCTCAAACGCGCCCCCCACATGGCCGTGCTCAACTTCACCGATTACAATCTGTCGCGCATGAACTTCACCGTCATGTACAACGACACGATGCAGCACTCGCTGCCCATCGTGCTCAACGTCTTCACCAACGCCTTCTACGAGTGAGTATACGACGATGAGTCATATAATGTCATAATTTATATATATTGATTGGATATCCAATATTTCTTCGTTTTCGAAACAGATTGTTGAACCCGAGCAAGGTGAGCCCGATCCGAGTCAAGACCCATCCGTTCCAGCAGATGTCGCAGCCGCAGGAGTTCAACATCGGCATCGCCAGCTCGGCCCTGTTCATCGGCATGGATCTCGTGCTCGTGCCCATAACCCTCGCCGTCGACATGGTTTACGATCGCGAGGTAGAGTATCGGAACACCCCCGCGGCGTATATACTTTTCCCGAAAGTGCAGCTGACGTTATATCATTCAATTTTTTAACCCAGATCAAGGCGAAAAATCAACTGCGAGTCAACGGGCTGTCGTTCACCATGTACTTCTTCACGTACTTCGTCGTGCTGATCGGCCTCATGTCGTTCATCTGCCTCGGCATACTCGGCATCATCTTCCTGTTCGACGTGCCCTCCCTGCAGGAGGTGCCCGCGCTGCTCACCTTCGGCGGCCTCATCATGCTCTACTGTCCGGCCTCGATCATGTTCTCCACCTCGCTGGCCTACATGTTCGACAAGATGGACTCGGCCCAGAGCTTCCTGCCCAACATCGCCACCTTCATCGGCCTCATACCCTTTCTGCTGGTGGTGGCGCTCGACATGCTCGGCGTCGGCGGTGTCGCGGCCTTCACTCTGCACGTCATCTTCTCGCTCTGCAACACGATGTACGTGCCGTACGCCGCGCTCTACTACATCGATCGGGTGCACCTCATGTGCTCGATCAACGCCGCCTGCCATCACCTCACCATCTGGAGCTACATGACCACCGAGATCATCGTCATGGGCGTGGGCGTGGTGCTGCACTGTCCCGTGCTGTTTCTCGTTCTCCTCCTGCTCGACACCAAGAAGAACGGCGGCAACGTCAAGGACTTTTTCAAATACTTCATCGTGAGTTCATAATCGTACTGAGATGATCGCTGAGTTTGAGCTATATTGATGAAAATTGTTTTTTCTTTTTCTCTGCAGCGCAACGGTGGCTCTATCGGTGAAGAGATAATGGAGAACAACGACGTGGGCGATCACGAGGACGTTGATGTGAAAAACGAGAGACAGAAAGTGTTCAACATAATGAGTGCGTCGACGGTGCAAGAGCCACCCGTTGTTTTAGTTCAGGTAAGTTTTCATCTAATTAATCTACTCCGTAAAAAAAAACATTACATTTTATGAGGGATTCGCGTAAAGATTCAGACATTGAAATGAATGTGATCGTTATTGAATTTTATTTGAGTACGTATGGAACGTAGCCCTCTCCCAGACTGCTACGTCGCATCGGTAGCGGGTGTGTTAGATTATCTTCGTTTGTCTGCTCACACAAACGGAATAAATCCTCGTCGCTCATGTTTTCGGCCACTTTGAGACAAGCAAGATACGGCAGATTCAATCTTCGATAATCTGTCATGAAAAGATCGAATATTATCAATTCCAAATATGGTCTTATTAACATGTTTGCAACGTGTCTTTTTGCCGTGAATGTTCATGGGAGTATACATTATTTTCTCCATTGGTGGGACACGACAATTCTTTAGATTTTTTAAAATCGAATAACCCTCACTGTAGCTCATTTTGCAAAGTTGATCAAGCGATACATCATTATGTATTCCATAATATAAGTAAACCTCTTCTAAAAAAAGGGAATTGAAGGAGGCTCATGGATGCGTATATCCGCTGGTACTCTTTGTCTGAACGTCTCGTAAATTTCTTGTAGGTAATCTTTGACATTCTTGTTTAAAATAACAGTTATACTTTCTATACATAGATAAGTAATGCGCTATCCGCTTGAAGGTATGCGTATCTCGACTTGGTCCTGCCCGATAAATGTGTTTTTAATTCCTGTGGACGAGAGTAGTACTCATCGTTCATTTTGACTTGAATTGTTCAAAGAAAATTTTGAATCTAGCACTCAGCACGGTGGTCGAGATCACTACTGCACTAAAGCTCGACTATAACTGAAAAAAGAGAAAAAAAATAACTGTGAGCAACGACACGTGGCAAAAGAAAGGATTTCGTGGCTCCGTGCTCCGCTCGTTATTGCGGTTGTATCTGTACTGGCAAGTGGTCGAGCAGCAACCAGCAACGCGGCTTCCTAATGGGATGCCTCCTTAGTTCCTTACTCGCGACCAACATATGTGTCGACGTTATTGAGAAGTGAAATCGTCCGGACGTCCTCTAGCGGTAGAACTAATCTAAGAGTGCTGCAGAGCCGTATACTTTACGTATAGCAGTGCACTCTCCGTTTCGTCAGTTGACGCGTTATGTAACAGCCATTGACGAGGCTCCGCCCACAGTTCACTTTCCAAACCCCATTGTCATTATTCTTTATGATGGACGTCGGGAAGAATACTTGTCGTGAAAATGGTTGTCGTGAAAATGGATTCGGAAAAGAGGGAGGGAACCCAATACGGAGCATCGCGACAGTGGCGCCCCTGTCGATAGATTTCATTCTATGCCCAAATTTAAACTTTTACATTAAAATTGCTTCAAAAAGGTCATGAAAATTCAATCACAATTAATGCTAGCTTTTGCCGGTAGATGGCGAGTACCTTTATCTGTAAATCTGCAAGTGACAAAGTAAAAGTAATTGTATAAGTTGTATAAGTAAGAGTAAATTTTTGGTAATGGTAATGTAAAAATATTTCAATTTAACATCACATAAATGAATTAAATGCTTTACATGAAAGTAAATATATCCTCGTGTTGGAAAGCAACTTCCGCTTCTCTTACATGAATTTCAATATAAATACGTTCAACATTACATTCGTGCCTCGTGCACATCGAGAACTCAAGCAATAAATTTTTCTTTCTCGCTTCTTCTTCCCCGCAACAACGAAATAAAAAACAACCAGAACCTCCGCAAAGAGTACCGCCAGCAGGAGTCGATACAGTGCAACTGCTGCTCGAGGCGCGAGGAGGAGCAGCAGCCGCAGCCCACGAAGAAGATCGCCGTGCGCAATCTCTCGCTGTCGGTCGAGCCGGCGGAGGTGCTCGGCCTGCTGGGCCACAACGGCGCCGGCAAGACCACCACCATGAAGATCATCATCGCCGAGGAGGCGGCCACCCGCGGCCGCGTCCAGATCGGCGGCAACAACATCAACAGCTCGCTGTCGGACGCCTTCAGGCAGCTCGGCTACTGTCCGCAGCACGACGCACTCTGGAAGAACATCACGGTGCGCGAGCACCTCGAGTGCTACGCCGCCATCCGGGGGGTGCCCTGGCGCGAGATCAGGCGCATCGTCGATCTCTACCTGTCGGGCCTGCAGATCTACGAGCACGCGGACAAGCAGGCGCAGGAGTGCTCCGGGGGCACGAGGAGGAAGCTGAGCTTCGCCATGGCCATGATAGGCGGCCCCAAGGTCGTGCTCATGGACGAGCCCAGTACCGGCATGGATCCTCGCTCCAAGAGGTTCCTCTGGGACACCATACTCGCCAGTTTTCAGGTAAGATCACGATTGCACATCGATCGATCGACAGTATGGCTAATGTTATCGTTGCAGGGCGGCAGAGGGGCCATCCTGACGACGCACTCGATGGAGGAGGCCGACGCCCTGTGCTCGCGCGTCGGCATCATGGTCAAGGGCGAGCTGCGCTGCATCGGCTCGACCCAGCACCTCAAGAACCTCTACGGGGCCGGCTACACGCTGGAGATGAAGCTGCTGGGCGGCGACAGCACCCCGACCACGCCCTCGGGCAATCGGGTGGAGCTACTCAAGGACTTCGTCACGGGCCTGTTTCACGACGCCACCCTCGAGGAGAGCTTCGCCGACAGGCTCGTGTTCGGCGTGCCCCAGCACTCGGTGCATTCGCTGGCCGAATGCTTCACGCAGCTCGAAAAAGGTAAGAAGCTTAAAAAAAAAAGAAAATTGATACGTTTATCGTGACAAGACGTTTATTGGCTTTTTTTTGTATCGTCCTCGCCTCTGTAGCCAAAATCGAGCTCGACATCGAGGAGTACAGCTTCAGCCAGACGACGCTCGAGCAGGTCTTTTTAAAGTTCTCGCATTACGACGAAGCCGACGCGGTTGATTGAGTGCAGAGCTGTGGCTCCGACAGAGTCACGCAGCTTTGAGTCAACAAAACCAACCAACCAACCACACACACGGATGTAAAACAATTCATTGTATAAAAAAATAATCCAAAGAAGAACGAACAACCAAAAAAACTTTCCGCGTGTCTTTTCACGGGCGAAAAGACTACGGCTTCAACTTATATATAAATAAAAATATATCGTATATATTACCCCCCTGCGAACCGGAGGGACCATCGCGCATCGCTTTGAATTCGCAGCAGGGCCGCCGCCGCCGCTAAATCCACATCGATCGACAAAAAAAAAAGAAAGAAATAACGTCGTGTTCACGAACGTCGTCCTTGATTATTGCGATACATTATGTATCGAGACGAGAGACGCGTGCTGAATCATCGGTACCGACTCTACACACTACGGGAGAAAAAAAATTACTATACATAGCGTGTACAGACTCTTTTCTTCTTCGTTCACTTTTTTTTTTAAAAATCGTTTATTTATACATAGCTGTAGATATGTCATCGATTGTTTTGTGTATCATATACTTGTATACATCGATGAAATTCATCGCGTCTGACGATTGAACGCATGGGTGCCGTTTTTTCGTACCTCGTACAACGGACGAGTATTATAATTTGTAAATAAAATTATAGGCCACGCGAGTGGCGATCGAAAACAAATTTTTAATGACATTAATGATAAATCGAATGAGGATACAAGATGTTTCTTTCGTTCCTGCTTTGTACATTATATTACGTGAAACTAGTGAGTTTTTTCTAACGTTTGTTATTAGGTATACGATAATAAATATTATTACCGAATGAAAATAATTAATAATAAATGATAATATTAATATAATGTTAAGTATGATACTTATAATAATAGTTATAAAATATTAATTCAAGAGTCAAGAGCGTTTTGAATAAATATCACGTAAATAAAGAAAAAAAAATATTATTACATGTAAACAAAATAAAAAGCATTACATATATGCGCATCGGGTGATCGCAAACGTGCAATTTTATCTACACTACAATGTATAAATAAAGAAAAAAAATTAATTAATTAATCGTGTAAAATGTGCCGTGAAATCATTGAAATATCAAATATCTCCTGTGTGTTTTTCAATGTTCGTATGATAGAAATGTATGTGTATGTGTGATTTTTTTCGTATGAAACAGAAAAATACGGGAATGTAGCAAAAAATTTGATGCCTCAATTATATAATAATACGAAATGAAGATGAATCGAAACGAAAGGAATATTTATATTCTAAAACTCAACTATTGATATTGATTCATGCATAAGTACGTATTGATGGAAAAAAATTAATAGACTACAATTTTTTCAGTAGCGTAAATCCGGGGGTGAACCCGTATTCAAAGATATAAAACACCGTAATTTGAACGATGCGTCTCGACGAATCAAGTAATTCTTATGAACTTTTAGGTAATTAGGGTAATTCGCATGTTACTGTAAAACCAAGTGAGACACTAATTTCAAAGTAACGTAAACTTTACGGTCGGCCTCGAATTTTGCAAGCTCGTAGTAATATACATTTTATAATAGATAGAACAAAAATTTCAACAAACCAAAGACTACAATTATAAAAAAAAATAATAATAATAGTGGGAATCGCGCGAATTAAGAATGTTTGTACGACTATCGTATTACAAGCTACGCAATTTTTGGCCTCTTTTGCATACAATTACAAAAAACATAGTTGAAAGATAGGAGAAGAAAAACTACCAAGGGAGAAGAACTTTTTTTCAACGTAGGAACTATATAAAATGAAATCAAATCAGTACTTACAGATTTTCAAAAACCTAAAGATAAATAGTATCTAACCAAAAAAAAAAAGAGGGGAAAAAATAGATAATCAAATTTCTGACAGTGTAGAGAGTTCTGTAGTTCATTCACGCGCACGAAAAAACTTCAAAAGTATAAAGCGAAACAGAGAGTACGCAAAAGTAAGAGTTTTCGAACAACACGCGGAGCGTGAAATTGCACGCGAAAAAAAGAGAGACAACAACTGCGTAGTTTCGCAGATGCTCAATTGAACGAAAAAGATGAATTTCCATGGAAATGCATTGTACACGAAGAAAAAATGCGCTACTGTCACATTCCAAGGACTGAGAAATACATAAAAATATTTTGTAGGTAAAAAATGTCGAAGTTACAGATAAGAAAAAAGACAATTACGTAGGTAGCTATTCGAATTTCGTCAAGATCGATCATACACATTACGAGTCAACAAAAATACAATCCAAGAATGAAACGTTTTTGTATATACGTATACATAATATACACTTACATATAATAATGTTATAATGTATCATCGAGTAATTAATAAATTGATACGAGAATAAAAGCCGAAAATATTACGTCATTTATAGAAACGCTGCGAGAGGGGAAAGAAATTAATCGGATCGCGAATTTCAATTCTATCAAAGAACGTATAATTCGTTGATCGACCCAATTTGCGATTTATTACAAGCAAATGTAATTAAACATTTATAGTCAATTATAATATCACATCATCGCTACCGCAAACCAAAAAAAAATAAAAGTTGTGCATTTTATATAGAAAAAAAACAAAATGAAGGAATTATTATCGTAAACATTGTATCATTGTGAATAAGCCTGCGCTTGTAATAATGCTGTATCGTTTCATTGTAGAAATAAAAACGAGGATCGTTGCGCAACAGCGACGACGCCGAACGTGAGAATGAAATTAATATAACGTTTCACGATTTTTTATAAATACAACATCTTGTAACGATCATAACGACATTTTACTTTTTTGCCTGTTATAATTATGTAATATTTTTAAACGAGCAAAAACTTTATCAGCTTTTTGACTTTATAATTTTTTACTTTGATAATAATGATGATAAAAAAATGAATTAAGAAAAAATGAAATAAAATAAAGTAAAATAAAATGAACTGTATGAATAAATTAAATCAGCCGATAACGAAGGAGTACGTGATAATTATTATATATCGTGAAGAGCGAAGTGAGAAACGGAGCAGCAGCGATTTTTATTATGCACGTCGTAAATAAGTCACGATATTTAAGGCACAATAGCGAATTATCAAAAAGTCGCTTTTAACTGCATTTTTTAGAGACACGCGATGTCTCTTGTAAACTACATAAAAAAAGGCGACACTATTAAAAAACGAAATACAAAAAACACGAGAGACAACAAGTGTGCGTGAATGCGTGAATGCGCGTGTGAGAATGAGGTATGCTACGATCACGTTATTACTAATGAACATGTACCACCGAAAATCTCCAAAAACAAATGTAAGAGGCATCACAATTGTACTTGGAATCACACGATATCGTTTAGATGTGAATTATAAAAAAAAAATAATAAATAAACAGGGGGAGGGGGGTAAATCGAGGCCAATCAGAAGAATATATTTGTTGATGTAAAATCAGCTGTTTTAAACAACAACATGCTTTTTCACTAATAAAAATTTATTGACGGATCGAACGATCTCGCAGTTTCCAATAGTAACTGTTTTTCTCTTTTATTTTCATACCTGCATGCGTTCGATAATTATGACACCTCATAGAGCTCATGAATAATATAAGATCAGTACAAGTAAGACAAGTAAATTGCATTATTCTATGAAACTCTTAAATCGATACCCTATTCTAAGAATAATTAGATGAATTTCAAAACACCGTCTAGACTAAAATTAGTTTTCCTACCAGATTTTAAATCGGAGACTTGTTTTATATTACGTTAATTTCCTTATAATCGTCTCAAAAATCCGATGAAATTACGTGTCTAGAATATGACACGTTTAAATTCACAATTACGAAGTCGTAGTAAGTCGACTCATTGAAGAAGTTATTTTTCCACTTTTGACAGCGACGAGATTTAATTTTCTTAATTTTTTCCCCCCGAAGAAAGTCGAGTTTCTTACCTTTCGAGATTTTCCTCGCACGATGAAATATCAGAGAGAGAGTAGCTCGCATTCAAAGTAAAATAATGATTCGATACCGGGAATCCATCGCTCAACGTTATATATATAAGCGCTCATCAATTCAAGATGATGCGAGCGCGAAGCGCAAGTAGTAAAACTCCGTATCCGATCAGACGCAATCATCAATTTCGAGCCATCAAAGCGGAGGGGGCCGCCTCCCAAGCTGTACGAAGACGACGACGACTACGACTACGGGGTTTTATAATATATCTACAAAAAACACGAGAAGCAGTTGTAAAACAAAAGGGTATAAGGCAAAGTCGTTAACTTTGCATAATATTGTCCGGGGCGTATAAAAATATATACATCCCCGGCTATATAATACATATCACCTTCTCACAGGTCGTAGAACTCAAGAGAGAAAGATCCTCGTTTACTTACGTAATATCCGAAGGGAACGAGGCGCGCCTCTCGAAGCTCTCGTCTCTCTCTCTCGAAAATATATATACGCGTACTACATTTCTTTGCCGTTATCATCTGCGCAGTAACGAAAGCTAAGCTGGAACAATCGATCTCACAGCTAGTTAGAACGTATACAAAATGTATACAGCGTATTATTATCATACATAAAACGGGCGAGATAGCGAGTGCTACTCGCGTATTTATGCACGGCGCCGATCGTTTATTTTCCATCTTTCCTTTTACGTTGCAACGCACTTCGCTCCCGGGGCTACGCGTACATAGCGTATAGGCCGATTCACTTTCCATGTTTTCATCGACAGAGCGAACTACTTTTTTTTTTTTTTGTTTTTATTTCGCTCCATCTCTCGCGCTCATCGGCGTGATTTGTTTTTCGTTTTTTTTCGTTCGCATTTTCAGCGCATATCCGCGCAATCCTCTCTCCGCGCGGGGCTCATATGCCGCACACAGCTAAGGTGTACATAAGCTGCTTATGCGTGTATATAAAGGGGGGGGGGGGGCGTTTTACCGATGCGTTTACGCCGCGCGATGACAGACAGATACTTACGCGCGCGGAACAGAGACAGAAAATAAAAACGAGTGCAGAATTTTTTTTTCATCCGTCGTCGTTGCGAGTAAGAGAGAGAGGAAAAACCAGGAGCAGCTACGAAGAATCTCGAGTTATTCGAAGAAAAAGGTAAATAAATGAAAATCGAATGGGAATTTAATTTTTTTTTTGCTCTATCTCGCTACCTTTTTCCCTCTCTTGTTTTTCCGTGTATATACTTCTCTTGCTGCCAGGAGAGAGAGAACAAAAAAAAAAAAACTATTGCGCGCAGGAATATTTTTTAAACTCCCGAGCGCAGTCATGCAGCATGGGGGGCAAATAACTTTTAAGTTCATGTTTATAATGTAATAAAAAAGCATTCGATTTTTCTCCTGAGACTCGTATTATAAAGGAAGTTTTATTTTTTACTGCTCCTCTTCCGCCACCGATGCTGCTGCTGCTCCTTTTCCTTGCTGCCCCCTGACACATGTATAAATACATGAAACTTTACTTTACGGTCAAAATCACTCGCGCCTCGGGGCACGCGCCGTTATATAAGCCCGCCGCGCGTGCTCTGCGCCACGGCATGTTTTACCCATTATGTATCGAGTTTCGCTTCTGTTTAAACTTCCATATTGTTTTTATTCTGTTCTACTCGTTTTAATGATAAATATTAAATAAATCGACAAACGATCTCGTGCGGTTATGCGAATTCTGATGTATCGCGCATCGGAAATTATCCTCAAATATTGACTAATCAACACTTCGTTCGCGTGGTTACGAGTCATTTTTTCTTCTTTTTTTTATCGAGTCTCGTGAAATACGGTCGTATATTCGGTAATTGGTATTTGAAATACACCTCGGATAGAAGAAGGAGTTTGAAAAAAAAAAAATGGTGCCATCGATCGGCTGCCTAGTACA